AAAAAAGAAGAAAAGGAAAAAAGAATGAATCTTCTACAGAACATGTCTTTTGTGCATGTGCTGAGTAGAGGCCCTTAGGGCCACTGCACCTATTCGTAAGAAAAGCAAGAAAAACGAGAAAAAAGAAAACAAGAAAAGAGAAAAAACAGAAAAAAACAAAAATCATTTTTCTTTTCTTAGGAATACGTGCAGTGGCCCTAAGGGCCTCTACTCAGCACATGCACAAGAGACAAAACATATGGCGGCGCATTATTCCATGTTCTGCAGAAGATTCATTCTAGTTTTGCACATTGGTGAGTAGTGAGTAGTGCAGCCAAGCCCTGAGAATCACGTGCAGTGAGCAACCCATAATTGCTGAAACACAGACCTGAATTTGAATCCTGAGTATATATTCGGTCAACTCGTGCTCTTCTTCATAATCGATGCCTGCCTCGATTTTGGTGGGCAGGTCTGAGCCATATGGCTGCGAGGACCCCTCAGACAGCCTGCACGGGCTGTCTGAGCCGTGTAAGGGGGTTTCCCCCACCCCCCTTAAAAAAGGAGTACTTTTTTTTTGTTTTCTCTCTTTTGTCTGGGGCATTGGCCCACAGCCCCCTTCAAGCAGCGCCGCCGCTTTCCACACTGCACACATTCCCCCCAAGCATCGCGGCCGGTCCCCACATTGCCCAAAGGCCCCCCCCMCCCCGCACAACCCCCTGCGCAAACGCGTCAAACGCGTTTACCGCCGTTCACTGAACGCGCGTTCACTGCGTTCAAAGCTTGAACGCGAAACGCGCGTTCAATGAACACGCGGTAACATAGCCTTACTGGGTTTGTGGATGGTCGGGCTATCCGCACAAAGACTGGCCCAGTTTTGGCAAATTGTATCGAGGAGTATTACTTGCGCTACCCCTTTGTCAAAGAGTTCGTAATGGATCGAGGATCGGAGTTCACCTGTAACGAGGTGCGGACCTTGCTTGCGGGGTACGGCGTAGTGGCAAACTATACTACTGTTGCACACCCTCAGGCGAACGTACCCGTGGAAAGAGGGCATAACACCATCACGAATCTCTTGGCCAAGTGGACAGAAGGCAAACCTAGTCAGTGGCCGAAGTTCCTGCGAGCGACCTTCTTCGTGGAGAATGTCACGGTGAAGAGAACCACCAAGTACGCGCCAACCACGTTATGGTATGGGAGGCATGCTACCTTTCCCATATAAAGTTTCATGAAAACCTGGAGGCGCCAAGACTTGGAGGTTGATTTGTTCTTCAAGGAATTGCTCGATATTCGGGCACGATAAGTGGGAGTTGCTGAGGAGAGGTTGCGAGAGGCCGCCGGTCAGGTACAAAGGAGCCGCATGGAAGATAAGATGCGATGGGACCAGATGGCACAAGTGAGGAAGGAGCCGTTGGCAGTGGGGGGTGTCGTATTATTGTATGACTCCTCCCTGGGAAAACAATGGTCGAGGAAACTCGACAAAAGGTGGATGGGGCCCTATAGGATCTTGCAGTGCGGTGAATTTGGAGCCTACCAGATCGAGGAGCTGGACGGGACAGGATGGCAGGATTGGGTGTCAGGGACCAGATTGAAGAAGTTCGAGGCCAGGGAATAGGTAAAGAATCCCACACCCCTCCGAGTAAAACCCTTGTTTGAAGGTGTCGCATGTCCCGGTTAGGCTAGGTAGAAAATGGAAAGAGGTAAGGGTATATGTGTTGCCGAAGACTTGATGGACTGATGATTGACCTTGTTGTGTGCCTGTCTGCTTTCTCTCGCCTGATGTGCAGGTCTGACTTTTCGAAGACAGCCATGCAGAGGGGTGGGAGGGGCGCACGGCCACGACAGAGGCCCCTGGGAGCGTCTGGAGGGGATGGTCAGCACAGGCCAGTTGGGAGAGAGTCCACACCTGATTTCGACGATGATAACATAGAGCTCTTTCTAGATGCCTACCAGGCTCATGCGGCACGATAGGGGTGGTCTACCCAGGAGAAGATACGGAATCTGAGAGGAAAAGTTCGTTTTTGTTTGGCACGCGTGACCGACGGTAGGACTGGCGCACAGGATGGCGCGCCACGACGCGGTCTAGGTAAGCCGGCGCGGGTGCCTAGCGATGGCACGCTGGTTGTAGGCAGAAAAGGGGGGCCCAGGCTGTTCTTCCCAGGCCTAGGCACCGCGCGGTACCACCACATGTTGAAATCCACGCCTAGTTGTCTCAGGCTTGGGCTTAGCCCTATAGGTTATGGCAGTGGACTATTACTACGGAGGTTTGGGGATCGATGCCAGCATGCGGCGACAAGCGAGCAGTGGAGCGTTGGAGAAAACCGAGGGGTCGAGGGCCCGACGGGGCTATCCCCCTCAGTTTTGGTGACATGCACGACGATGGGCCCGACCTAAGGGACTGGCGAGGTCCACCAATAGTTCCCGTCTTCCGCTAAGACCGTTATAATGAACGGGTTTTGTATTCTCGTCTTTTTACTTTCTCTTACTTTTATTGTTAATTTTTTTCTGGTTCCGTGCTCTTTCGGGATATGGCCCGAGAACCTGCCACAGTGGGTATACCCATGAATGGTCAAGACATAGGGCGAGTGGCCTTGGCACTCTCGTGGGCACTATCCCGGTCGGCATCCTTTGGGACATCTATTAAAATCGGAACGGTATTGAGAAGGTTAGCATGGCCCAGCGGAGGAGATAGTGAGGAAGAGGGATGAATCGGGACGGGGTCGGACGCCGGGTGCAGGCGCAGCGAGTTAAGGAGGGGCAGCGGGGCTGGCCGGGAGAATGCTGCGCGGCAGCAGGCGAAATGGCGAGCGGGCTAGCGGAAGACTGCCTGATGCAGGGCAGGGATAGTGGCCGTGGAAGGAACCTGGACGCGGGTTGCGCCAGGTACGTCTACCGTTGAGGATAGAGGGGGTTGCACAACGTAAAAGGCTGCGCGAAAGAGGGTTGCGGGGTCCAGGCGCGCAGCAGGAACCGGAGTGCAGGCTGGATGACAGGCTTGGGTATAGGGCCAAAGGAATAGGTAAACCATCTAGTAGTGGTTTCCCGTCGGAGTTTCCCAGGAAAAGGGGCTATAGCAGTGGGGGCTGTCGGGGAAATAGCTGTGCTGACCGGCTCGACAGGCGATTCATTGCGGGCCCTGTAGCGGAGTCCGACTTCCAAAACCACCGCCCCGTCGTCTATATCGGACGATATTCCTGATGATATTCGGATTCACGCTCAGTATAATGATAGGATGAGAGCGCAGAGGGTCAGGGGAGAGTGAAGGAGCACGCAGGGGAGCAGACGGACGCTGAGGTAGTGAGCCGAGCTGGCAGAGCGATGGGCGCCTAATAAGTGAAGTGAGGTAGTGAGGCGGGGGAATGGATCCGGACGGGAAAGCGGGCCGGGTACGTGCATGTGAGGTGGAGTAGTGACGGGAAGAGGGGCGATAGGCGAAGCAACCAAGACCAATAGGAGATACCGGGCGGAGAGCTAGCAATGGCGGAGGTAGGGAGTGATGGGCGGACTGACCGGGAGTGACGGGCAGTAGTGGAGAAAGTCGAGGGAGGAGTTGGTAACGGTGGATGAACCAAAACAATGGCGG